CAAATTAAATGCATATTTTATTATTTACAAGTCCGAGCCCTACTTATAACTAATTAATTATTATTCGTTCGAAATTAATTTTGTATACATTCTCATATAATTCTCAGAAAAATATTCTGCATCGGAATGTGAAATTAAAAATGTAGGTGTGTAGGTACTTCAAAAATGTAAAAAAAGTAAAAAAATTATAACAATAAAAACAGAAAGGAATATAACGTTTTCCTAAACAAAATTTTATTTTGTAACGAATTCAAATTATGAACAAAAAAAAAAAAACATTTCCAAAATCGTAAACAGTTTTCAATAAAATTAATTTTTCTTCCTTCATTAGAATCACTCTGTACCTATTGTTGCGTTTGTTATTCGTTTCCAGCCTGATCGCCACGACAACACATACACAATAGGTATCGCACGCGTGTATTATATTCCATCCAAACGGAACGAATTTTGATGGTCGTTATAGGAACTGACAATTATTATTATGATTTATTGGTAACACAATACTGAAATACTGAACAGGTATAATACAATAATATAACATTGCGTATTGTGGAATGACACTTCACCGGCGCTTTACTGATGCTATTTATCGAGTAATATTCAAAGCTCAAATTATGTGAAAATTCACTACCTAGGGTAAGCATTGGCATAAACTGCACAATTATAATATCATAATTTAATACATCGACGACGTAAGCATGAATATAATATTATGTAGCACCGACTGTTGCTTCGATGCGGTAGTGATATTGAAATATTAAAACGATATCTTAATAAAGTTTGTTTTTGATTTTATTGATTGGTGATTACTACTGATAACCAATACCACTGAAGTTATATTTACCCACATAATTGGGCTATTTAAATCGTCTTGAGGTTGGCTACCTACCTATTAAAAGTAAATGAGGCAAATGTGCGTATACCGTGGTTAATATAATGTTATTACTTTTCTACGTTGAATTGGTTTTAAAATGAATACAATATTTTTATGAAATTGATCGACAGAAGGGTCGGACTGGCCTATAGTTTAGATGTGCTAACACATCTTACACACGGTAGGCACTCGACCTTATGGGCTTTCTGCAGTTCTGCCCTTTTCTGAATAATAAAAATGTTTTACAATTTACTTATATTTTAATACATATTTCTCCATAACCGTCAACTTGCAAAGTCCGCATGGTGTCAATGGTGCATTATAAATTAATAGTATATTTAACATAAACTCACATTTTTGTGAAGTACAAAACCAAAATTACACTTTTTAACCAGCGAAGGATTACAGAGCTCATAGTATAGTCACATATATCGTAGGTACCGTTTATAATGATTTATTCTGTTATTCGTACCATTTTTATATTATTTTTCTGCATTAGGATTTATGTTTATCGTGTATTGTTGTATTGATAGCTGTTTTTAAAATCTATAAGCATTTTATTGTAACAACATATTTTATATTGCACATGGTGCGTATATAGGTATAGTAAATATATATTGTACACAGTAAGTCTGTAACAGAGGATATTTAATAAAATATGCTTTGTCGACAAATGAAAACAATAAAAGGAAATATATATTAAAGAGTACCTATATATAGATGTTTTAAAAATGTCAATAAAAATCTATTAAATTATTATAACTCAACGAGTGTGGATATAATAAAGACTTTTGAAAAGCCGGTATATTATTTTTCAAATAACCCTCCCTATCGTGTGCTTGGATTACCAACATATGCCCAACCTTTTTCGGCATTTAAGCCTTAAGAGTTAAGGGTTTAGTTTCAAAGCTGAAGTGTCTACACAATTCGTTATTCAACTTCATACTATTCAGAAAAAAAGAAGGTTTTATAGTTTTAATATACGAATTTTCATAGACTGATCAATTATGATTCCATAAAATAAAGAAGAAAGTTGAACTTATAGACTTGACGCACGATATAATATAGCAGGTATGTGTTATATGTTATATATGTACGGCTAATAATATAATACATTTTTTTGATCTTAAGCCCGGCATCTATGGCCATTAACTGTATTGGTTTTGTACTTTTTAATGTCAGTAGGGGGGGGAACACGTGTGTGTTGGGTTTGGCAGAATTTTTGATTGGGCACCCTTATGTATCTGCTATGCCCGGGTGGAGGATGGCGGCATTTGTTCTCCGGACATCGTGACTTGCTCGAATAAAAATGCCACCCGTGACCAAGGAATAGAGCCGGCGTCGGCTGCGTCGCAACCGACGCTTTAAACCGCTCGGCCACTCCGTCCCCCTATAATACATTATAATATACGAGTAAGCACCTATAAGGTTAGTCATTATCATATTTTATTAATTATATCCCCTTGACCACATTCCATAACCATAATTAATAAAAAAAATCAAATAATATAGAGTATATTCACTAATATACACCTCCTTATATTTTACATTTGAAGAGTATTTTGAAATATTGAATTTTAATACATAAAATAATCGTACGTTTGGATGTAAATGGTTTGAGGGTTGTGTTTTATGTGTAAATTATTGAGGAAAATGTTTTTTTGTTTAAAATAATAAGTCTTTAGTAGGGCTTGCGTTTGAAAAAAAAATTACATTTTATGTTATTTACAATTAAAAAGTTACAACATTTTTGCGTTTATCGTTGTTTAGAATCAAAATGTTATTCAACTTTTGAGTTTTATTGTTATTCAGAATTAAAACGTTGCACAGGTTTTGAGTTTATCGTTATTTAAAATAGTGTTGATACCTATTAAATTTAAAAATAATAACTATCCGGGTAATGGCCCGGATATGGAATATAATATAATTAATTCTTAAATTGTTTGCATGAAATAAATGTTTTTACGAAACCAATAGGTTTTAAACAAATGCATTTTAAAATATTTCGCTTTGAGTTATTTTTCATTCAATGATATTCTATAAATTACGTTTTCGGTTATGTTTTGTGGTATTTAATTACTTTTTATTATCGCTTTCCGTTATAATAACGTTTACAAATAGCAATAATTTGTTGTCAAATATAGTGTTAAAATCGTAACGTTATTATAACATTTGTAAACCCTGGTCTTTAGTGTATCAAATAGAGTTGGTAATACCTAATATGACGTTAATCAGATACAATTAATAATTATATAAACGGCATAGTTATATATGATGTCATGGCTCATTTTTTATCAACAGTTTTAAACAAAATATTTTTTTAATAACTTTTATTACATAAGTATAATAGTTAGCTGAGTTCGATCAACCGCGCCTATTTTAAAATATTAAAATTACTGATTTCATTTGTATACAATAATATGTTCATTCACACGAATTTTGTTCATATATAATATTCATTATCAATATTGTTAACTTTTTAATAAACTTCAGGTAAAACATGGAACTGTTGCAATTTGTAGAGAAATATTCTTATTACTGTGATAACTGATAAGCATAAAGGTTGGAATTCAAATTTAAAGTTTATTGACATATTTTCAACGAGATTCGACAAGACACCTTAACATATAATATTATATTGTAGATACCTACACGTGAAGTATACTATAGGTATAGATATAGCTGAGACAAAATTATTGTCATATTACTTCATTATTTCTGTCATTCCCTATACCTTGAAGTATATATTTATAAATTATCTGTGCTCAGGTACCTACCTATATAGTAATGCAAATATAACAATAACTATGATAATAACATTATTGTATTAATTGACTATCATATTGAACCTACCATGTGTATTATTATTATTATTATTATTCAATCATTGTAAAACGCGTTGAACAAAGTTGAGTGTTGACGCATGAAAAAAAAAGTGCTCTAATTTATCAATACGTATTATTAAAAATGTATTAACAAAACATTAACAAATACGACTCTGTTCGTGATAAACTGCGGGTCGTTGCTCCAATGTTATGTTTATATAATAAAATGATGGCCATGCACGCATTGACCGCATATATCTTTAATATTACCTTCAATCTACCTTGAGATAAAAGTATAAAACCACAGACAACATTTTACTGTTGTTAGAACTTTATAAAGTCGCTCTTTATTATAATATAATATCGACCTAATAACCGGTGTCATCATAAACGTTGTCCGTAAATTGCAATGTATACCCTGCAATGGAAATTATATATATTATTTGTATTGTAGATCGGACGCGTATTGGTCTAAAGTGGCCAGTAAAAAAAAAAAAAATGAGAATTTCGCTCCAAATCCCCAATGTTTGACCCGACAGAATAAATACGATTTATCTATGTGTTAGGAAACATAAAATATATAAAATATAAACGACTCGATGTGGAAATCGAAAGAATTATATTCTGTGGTCAGTGATATACGAACGTCACAATGCCACATTGTAAGATACAATGCACAGTTATAAAATTATAAACAATATATTATGTAATATATTAATATATATATAGTTGGAACTATTGTAATACGAAGAATGTCTTGCTTAAGACAGTGGCTCTTATTATATTTTGTGATTTATGTGACAACAGCTATAGAGGACAGAAAAAATATATTTGAAGCAGTCTGTATTTAAAATAAAATACATACGATACCTAGTATCGTTTATTTTAATTTATGATTTAGTAATAATATTATGTCAATACATGGTTTTATTTTATTTTATGTTTTTGTAAATAAAAATGATGATATTTTTTTAATTCATATTGTATATTATATCTTTTACTCTTTAGACACAGAAGTGTATCAAATTTTATTCTGAATAAATAATAACATATTGTTTAACTTTTGAATATAAAGTACATCAAAATACGTTCGAAAATATAATAACATGACTTCTACGCCGGGTCGCGTAAACAATCATTTCACATTTTTATGAATCAGTAGTGAGCTAATGGTCCTTTTAACATGATTGAACGGCCCATGATTGATCTATTACGTTTTAGTGAACCATTTAATTGACAATTTTTTTTTTATGCAACTCGGCAATAGTCCTATAGCTATATAGTTATGAATATCAGTTCACTCACTGAGTCTCGACGGCGGCTATAGTGGTCCTGCACTGTCCGTTTTGGAATATGACTATATCCACGATCTGTTGCATGAGCACTTTGATTTTTTTCACCATTTTGTTGCTGCTGTTTCGTATACATAACGTCACTTGAACGTTTTCGCCATGCGTGTAGACCTGAATTAGAACGCAACAAATGTATAAATATATTATAAATATTATTATTATTATCCACTCGAACTCGGTTCAACGAACCTAATATTGACGTATTATAATTTTATATTGACAAGTAGATATTATACTGATAACAAACTCATAAGTAACTAATACTGTTTTTTAAAAGAGCTTAACAGTCTAAACGCTTGTGCATCCGGTAATATTGTAACGTGCGAGGTGTAGAAGCCCCAATCCCCGACATTTTGTTTACCCCCCCCCCCCCCCCCGGAAATTGTTTACAGTTACATACGTGTTTTGAATATATGTTGTGTACCCAAAATATGATGTGTTATAGCCCCCCTCCTTCATATGCATGTATAATGTGACCAATCAAATGTACCTGTTCTAAATTCTAATAAAATTAATACACACAAATATAAAACGCATTTTATTAGCTGCAGATGGATTGCGTAATATTATGTAATAATATGATTTTAATGTTGATTGAATCGTCTAACTCATAACTGTCTAAGCACTCGGCAGTGTATGTGGGTGTGTTTCTGACTTCTGTGTCAGTGTACTAAATGCTTAGTCACGTATTTAAAATCTTAAGTTCAGTCTAAATAGTAATATTTTTTACCATGATTAAGGGGCCTCGCAATGGCATTGATTTAAGGAGAATCATTTAGGCAATTTCTAATCTCGTCGTCGCCACTCGAGATCTATGGGTTAGTCGTAAATGATTATTAGTGTGTGTGGCGTCCATACGGGTCAATTGTAGCGGTGATGGCTCTCACACCCACTCGCACGCACACGTCAATATATAATATTGTGATCATGAAAAAATGTTTATTTTCCACTCAAACATACGAATCTAATTAGAACAGTACGTCACAACGATTACCTCGATTTTCATTTTGACAAAATATTCTTATTTTCCACAACATATACGAAGGATCGATCGAGGCACATTTTTTAAATTCTATTTAGTTCATTAAATATTTAAGTTGGAAATTCTGTATTTTTTTTGAATTTTTTACAATTTTTATTGCAATTTAGATTACAAAAATTATAATGTGGCTCGTTCGTTCCCTTTTATATATTAAGGACAATCAGAATATTTTTTCTGAATGAAAATCGTGTTAATTGCCGACAAGTATCGTTGGAATTAGAAACAGTAGTTTTTGACAAAAAAAAAAAAGACGTGTTAGTGAGGCCCCTAACCTTATAAGTTATAAGCATACAATAGTTGTCAGTTTTCAGATATTATTTTAATAATAATTTTGTAGATATTATAATTTATAGGCAGATACAAGATATTCGAGGACTATAGCCTTGAAAAAACAATAATATTATGTACGTTACTGCCTGCAATTTTTACAGTACCTATAGGTATATAAACGCAAAATTAGAGATATTGGCAAACTATTTTAAAAACTGTTTAATAACAAGCGCGATGCTTAAAAAATGCTAAAATCAAACAGCCCGTGAAAAACTAAACTACTATCAAAATCCGAAATCGGTGTTTCTCAATATTCGATGGCGAACGACTGGAACGTGCCGGACCTTTTATTCCAATAAACCGCATGGGTCAATCGGTATTGTAAATTTGTACAAAAAATTATTATTTTATTCTATTGCTAACTAAATGATAAAAAAAAATTGTACCCATAAAGGAAGGTCTCAACATTCAAATTTAAAATTCCAATAACAATTGATAGTTAAAATAATATATTATATACCTAATATTGTTTTCTCACTATTTACAAAATATTCCAAGATATTCTAAAGAAATTATACATATTTCCTAACCCCGGAAATATTAAAGAAAAGCTTTTACTTGTAAGCTCTGCGTGTTGAGCGAATCGTGCAAATGTCTTACTTTTCTAAAACTATGGATACTTTAATTATAATATATGATCAGACGCTCAGTAATGATGATATTATGTAACAAGCTAAGAACCCTAAGTGCAAGCTTTAGCTTATATACAACGACGACTATATCTAATGGGACCACAACAACAACAATGAAAACAACAAAAACAACGACGACAGCAACAATAATACATGCACTGCGCCACTGCCTATAGGTCATCGTAGTACACTCGTACCTATATAAAAATATGGCTACCGACAATCGGAGCTACAATATTACCTATGATGGTACCTGAACTCACACAATGAACCGATTAATAGCTATTATCTATTTGTTTAAGCAGTTTTCTCCTACTGACGTGTACCACCTATCTGTATATATAAAAAGACTTGTCCTGGGTGATTCATCATCGCCTAGCCGGAACTGCTGGGTCTAGAGACTTGAAATTTTGTACAGAGGTTCCTTAAGCAATGTAAGGGCGCACTAAGAAAGGATTTTTGAAAATTCGACCTACAAGGGGGTAAAAGTGGGGTTGAAAGAATATGATAGTGGCGCCATCTATCAAACAATATTTAATTTAAATATACAATATTGGTATTAAAATGAGTGAATTAAAAATAAAAATAATTTATATTGATATGATAATAACAATTTAGACATCTCTATGGCAATTAATACATCAGCTCGATGTACTGGCTAATACAGTATAATCTATGGTTAATCGGGCATGTTTGTTTTTTTGCCAAGCTGATTGACTGCTATCAACGCACAGCTTAAACCATTAGACGGATCTGGCTAAAATTTGGAATACAGATAGCTATTATGATGTAGACGTGCGCTAAGAAAGGATTTGCCAAAATTCGCATTTTAAATAGGTGCTGAAACAGGGACATTGAGATTCACGATAGAAATTGGAAATTTTATTTTTATTTATTTATAGTTGCCATTGGTTACAGTCTACATTAGAAATTAGCATTTATTTATTGGTTGCCATTGGTTATTCGGGCAGATCAGGTACAAGCTTGCATCAAATCGAATTATTGAACATTGCCTACCAGGGTGGCTGAGTTGCACTTACCGCAGCAAGTTACACCCAAAAGGAGTTCAACAATCATAATTTTTTTAAGAGTTGCGATTTTTTACGAGCAACCAAATTTGTTATATTAATCCACAGTATTATATCAAAATAAACTTGGTATAACTTTGATACTTTAGAGTTAAATCATCCACTTCCGTACAAACAACACGGGGTCCGCGATCTACCGCAGGTAGATTGCCTACCGGATAATGTACTGCTGCGATTCAGAATTTTTATTCCGGGCAACGGAAAAGATAAGATAAATTTTGAACACCATACACCGAATATTGAATAATGAATTGAACAAAGTTTGAGTCATATTGAGTTCAAGTTGATACATTTAACGGGCGACGAAGTGCACGGGATCAGCTAGTATGATATAATATCATAATAACATAATAATAATATTAATATGTTTTCCTGCCCGGACGTATATTATTGTATACCTACCTATGGTCGACACTCGACGCAATATTTTAATGATGAAGTGCACTCGCGATACGCATTACGCTAAATTTTATTGTTATTATTATTGTTACATAGGTACTATTCCGTGTAAGTGCATTTTATTACCTACCTATAAGTGTGTGCCGCCGTTCACGGTATAGGTACCCATATAATGCAGCGCCTATAAGGCTATCGTACCACTCGTAAAGAATGGGTAGAATTATTATGTGACGGGCGAGAACGTGCTCAGTGTGAAATATTCTGCAAGTTATAGTGTGTACAGAGTGATTCGCCAAGCGTGCTAACCCTTCCCCCCTACAACCTTTAACAATACCTTCGCTTAAACACCATGCAATATTTTAAAATATTATTTGATGTTCCTGTTTATTACCATTCAAGAAGTATCCTTTGCAAATTTTTTTTTAACGAGAACCCTTACTAGTTTTTTTTCAATATGATTTTTTCGAAAATGTATTGTTGCATCTAAATCAAAATTTTATAGAATGGTTTCCAAGTTATTTATAATTATGTACTGGCTGGTATAAGGAATATGGATAATATAGTCATTAATAATGGGTTTACCTAAAATATATGTAATATTTAAACTGCAAGTACTGATTGAATGTATATAGTATATAATTTATATTATTATTGTCTATAATATATTCATAACATTTTTACAAAATTATAAAATTTGAATGAATTAAAATGAAATACTATTTTATTAGCAATAGCTACAATTGATCATCTTAAATTAATCATAATATTAATAATATAAGCCTATTATTATGGACTGTTGTATAATGTTTACTTAGTACCTATACCTACTTTAAGTTTCATCACACAGAAACAACTGGCTTGTATTTCGATTTATAGGTATGCATTATAGAAATGATTATTTCTAAAAACATAATATTCTACAATATGAAGAATGAGCGGCAACGAGATGACAGAAAAACAAAATAATATTCTGATTGGGATAATAAATACAGCTTATATTTACTGCAATCGATAGGTATTATGCAAATATTTTCTGTTCGTTTATGTATTCCTATATATAACAGTAATATTAATTAAACACGGGTTTTTATATAAGATATAGTTATATAATTATTAATAATAAATATATTTCAATTAATTCAATAATATTATTATGTAGCGTATGTAATTTAACATTATTTTTAAACATTTCGTGCTGTATCACTCTCCACTCCATTCATTTAACCTTTATGAATACTTTAAAGTTATTTTTATTTTTTTACTAAGATAGTGAATATTTACAATCTGAATCGGGCTAATACAGTACTTACCTAATATACATAATATAAAATAAGACACAAGGGCTAGAACAGTTTAAGTAAACAACGTTCATTGACACGAATTTTTTTTTTTTGGAGCAGGCTAAAAGAAACGAGTAAAATTACTATATTATTCAACATCAAAACAACGGGAAACTCGTATTCTCTAAGAATCCAAAAAATTAATATGACAACGATTTGGTCGTAGAATGTTTTCGAATTGGCTAAATGAACACCGCAGTCATCGGGGCATACTTCATCTCGACCGTATGAGAAGGTGTAAACTCAACTTAGAATATATTACTGTGGGTTTTTTTTTGTATGTGCAACTTATAACTTTTTCGTCGATTTTAAACGATTCATTTTATGAAGTACGCAGATGTAGCCCAAGTATGATGTTGGCATTTCGGACATACTATAACCATGTGCTTGACCAAAAACGAAGCGAATTCAACGGATAAAAAAAAAACAAATATAACGATGACGATGTCGTCCGGATCGACACATGAGTTGACGACGGTAAACTGAAGCGGAATGTACGGCGGCGGCGATGTTAAATGATCGTCGAATGACATTAAGATAACGCCTATGACCGTCGTTATCGTCAACGCGATAGAAACGTGTGTTTATAAGATGGTGAAACACAGTTATTACATTTTACACAGAATTAAAAAAAATTATAAAATTTTAAGAAAAAAATGTAAGATGTCCCATACATTAGGTACAAAATATTTTTTTAAAAATGTGTTTTCAAAAATATGTAAAAATATGTGAAGTAAAAATTGGACTAATTTAGAAATTAATGAAATTAATTTATATCCAATCAAATGTCAACAGTAATATTTATTGAAAAGTTGTAATTAAAGTAAAATCCGTTCCTTACTTATTACTTGAAGGTTCCTATCTTATTAACACTTACCTACAAGTTCGAAATTATATATCATCATTTTCTAAAAAATATTCTGTTTTGAAATATAGGAGATTGAAATGTTATGTCGTAGTACAAAAAAAAATAAACTTAAACAATATTGACGATATAAAAAGGTAAAGCACATAACTTTTATTCTAAAACTATTATGTATAAAAAAGATATTTTAAAAAACATCAACACTTTTGAGTATAATAAAGAGTGTTTACTGTTAAAATAATCACCGATTACCTATAGGGTAATCTATCATAATAATATATGAAATAAAGAAATATAAAATGTCAGTTATCATTTTGCGTTCATTATGAATTGTGATAAGTTGATTTCACAATGTTACGGTTTGCCTATCACTATTTTTATCTTTAATTTAATTTCTTAACTGTTTCGTTGAAAATAAAATGGTACTGTGTTCCTTTTGCTGTAGGTAATTCAGAAACGAGTAATCGTAAGAGTGACTTGAAATTCACATTAAATATTTATATTAATATTTTCTATAGAAATAATACATTTTTTAAAAATATTTTTGCACTTTTTGAGCTATTTATAGATTTATTTATAGTTTCGACTTTTTTTTTGTTTATTTCAATTTATGTTTATAATGTTTTTGTTTCTTGGTAAAAAAGCTCAAATATGTAATACAATATTCCTCAAAAGTAGCTCTTGCAGCAGTTAAAATATAACGCTTTACACATCGATATATTCTTTTTTAATAAACTTTTAAGTTCAAATCTTGATGAAATAGAGGATCCTATTTAATTTTTTTCTAATTCAGAATATAGTATACATGTCAAGGAGCTTATTAAAACATAAATTATAATTTTCTACACTCATAAAGTACATTTTTCAAAATATTTAGTCTAATATTGTAATCTATTTATACCATGAACTTTAACTAAGAAAATAATTGTATTGAGTATATATTTTACAATATATACTCAATGATAATAGTAATAATAATATAAATATAATTATAATATTAAGTGCATAAACAATTATGTAGGTATCGTTAAAAATAGATGCTAGATGCGGCTAGTTCAGAATCGTATTTCCGTATACAATGATTTATGATTATATTCATTGAATTCAAATTCCACACATCAATAATTACAGTGACCTATACTTCACGAGTTCTCCGGTTTTTGTCTAGCATACCCGAAAATAATATTAAACATGATTATCTCGTAGTTGAAGCCACGAAGACAGCGTAACTACCATGTGACAACTCATTTAAATAAGGTACATATTTTATTTATCTTATAACTAACAGAAACACATAATATTTAATATTATTATATTATACTATGTCTGAAGATGTAATATTCGAAATTTATTCTCTAAAATCCCACTAAAAAAAAAGGGATTGGGGATCTAAGCCCCACGTTACCCTTTGCATTCAACCCTGCACGATTCACTACGCGCACATACACACTGCAGCTCATACCATTGATTATAAATACAGTAAATATAGTACCTATTTATACAATCAATAATGGCCATACGTAATAATATTTTGTTAAATTATACCATTTATATCACCTACCTATACATATCATATCTCGCCATCCCGTGTAGTTGCACGTGATGTTGTCATTACTCGCGTATATAATTAGCTAATGTTATTATTATAATGGTAAGTCGAACGTGTGATACCTGTTTGTCGAGTACAGCCTCCAATTCCAGTTGGCCAGGACTGAACATGAAGTCTTTGCGGACGATGGTGCAAGGATGTCTACTCAAGGGACGCATGACCGGAGCAAACTGGATTTTGCGGATGCGCATCGCCACGAAACTCCTATACGGTGAAAAAATAAATAAATAAACCTCAGCCGTTTCACTCCGACCTCATTTAAATCGTCGAAGGTCACCAACGAAATGAACAGTACCAAAATGCATATCTTACACCGACGTGTTTTCCGTCGACGTTTATATTTTACACTCAGCGTATTGTATATTAGGTATATATCATTATTATTTACGACCGAGGTACCAAATCTCTACTTAATGTTTGTACCTACCTATGTCTACATTATTTATGCATTATGCGTATAACCTCCACGATCTTGGTACGGTGTCGGTGTGCAGTTAGTGTCCACAACTTTTCAATTATTTTACTTTGCTATATACGTTTATCAGCAGTAGTAGGTATAGGTATATGGATTAGTGATCATCATCAAGACAACGCAGACTTGATACACGTTTGATGACAGCCCAAACTTAATTTTAAAATGTTTACGAATACAGGTAGGTAGGTAGGTACAAAAAAAAATAAATAACATACATAATATTATTATTATGTATGAAATATGAAAAACAAAACTGACAAGATATCTAAACTAAAAAAGTAGATTACTTTGCACGGTTATGGTCGGTTTCAGATTCTCCGGCGAATATTTTCACGTAGTACTGGACACCACATGCATCGGCTAAATTCGATGTCCCGTCTTGCAAAATTACCGATGCCGGTGCGTTCTCGGGAATTTTAAAACGGAACGGCGTCGCGTTACTTCCTAATTTAGACACTAAACAATCCTATGACAAAACAACAACCACAATCAGTCAAATACGCGTTATATACTGTCCAATCTACGTAAAAGTTGTGCTAGGACATTTGTTAGAAGGTTATATATCATATGATTATACGAGATTATATTATAATATATTAGTAGTTATATTTGTACAAATCAACGTATAGTTATACTAAATGTTATTTGATATTGTCTATATTATGACTGCTGTGCGTCTATGTGGATTTTATTAATTTAGACCCCCCCCCCCCAATCAATTGTCCAAATTGCGTCTATGACTATATGATATATCCATTTGAACTCCTACAATAAAGTTGGTTCTGGTAATGTTAAAAATATACCTAAATAGGAAAGGAAACCGTCTAAAAATTAAAGCATACGGTCGTTTCATACGTTTTTTTATGTTATCTATATAATATATTATTATATTATATTATGTACAGTATACATTATACATAAATAGTACATACCTAATAATATATTATATTATGGTATTAGTGTTGTCATTTAATTTAATTATGCTATTTAGCTATTTTTATTTAAAGAAGCCCTTCATTGAAGAAATTAAAATTTCGTGTATTAACTACGTATATTACTAAAAAAAAAAAAAATAGAAAACATTTTTGTTCAATACATTTGGGCATTTGGCTATGAAAATAAAATAAATAACAAATATGAATTTTTGAATTTACATTGCTTATTGTATGTTTGGAAATGTATACCTATGTATTGAATACCTAATAATAGGTAGGTACCTGCATAATACCTAACTACCGGACTAATAAACAATGGTGGATAATGGAAAAAAAATATCATACGCAGTAAGGTACTTCACCTTATCTTTAATATGTTATTGGGAAATCGTTAAACGTTGATCGTAACGTTAAACGTTGTTAGGTAACCCATTTATTATTTTAACACGAATCTTCAATCTAGTATACAAAAAAAATGTTTTATTAAGCATTTTAAATAACAATTTGCTCTATAGTTATAGGAAAACTGTATGTACTTTTATAACTTTTTCTAACTAATATATAATATGATATTCTATGTCGGAAGAAACAATTTATTTTCATGTAGAGATATATTTACCTGAATTTTAGTCAACTTGAATGGGTTGTCGTTATCAAGAGGAGGATATATTTGTGCCGATGCCAAGTACATGTCTTTCTGAAAACACAATCCCATCACTTCATCCTCCTTTCGACCGTACCGAAAGCTGCACACTATTTGACCGAAGATTTTGCCACTTTTCAAATAAGAATTGTCCAACATGACGACGCCATCTATAGCATATTACATTATAATTTATAATATTATTTGTAAGATAAATATAAATATTTTTTTATTTTTTTATTTTTTTTTTTTGTTTAAAAAAGTATTTATGGCAGCATAGGCCATTGGGCTTACATAATATTTTTAACTTAAACTAAATGTTAACAATATGGATATTGGATACGTATGTCGTATACGAGAGAACTTAATTTTAGATTTTGGATTGAAGGTTTGCTGTTGTGATGAATTGGATGATTCCTGTTATGGCCTCGGGATGATTTTGAAGTATTTCGGAAAGAGGTTCGGGCATGTTGACGCTTGATCGGATGTTGAGGTATGTGCGGCACTGCGGCATTCGGTGAGTATGTGTTTAATTGTAATTTGGACGCCGCATGTTGCGCATGTTGGAGGGTCTTCCTTGGCCATTAAAAAACTGTGTGATATTTGCGAGTGGCCAATTCTCAGTCTTATTTGTTTATTGGAATAGCCAATAGGTATGTTATATTAAATGTATTCCATAAAACCCAACGAATCAATAAAAATTTTAGTATTTAACGTTGATATTATTATATGCAGAAAATATTTTTAATACCACAATAGTAACCGTCAATTAAAAAATATGTATGTTTTATTTGTAAATTCTAAAAATAAAATATTAGGTAAATATAAAAGTACCTATATTTTTTAATTTGAATGTGCCTACCTACCTACATATATATGTGTATTATACATTACAGAATAATATTGATGGTTAAAATCATCATTATGGTTGAAAACAAAGGTACAAATTACAAGTAGAAAAAAATACTAATCTTATAATTCTATAACATACTAATTTTGACTCAAAGTTATTAAGCTATTAACATTAAAATATTATTTAACATAGTTTTATTAGTATTTTTTTATTTAAACATCGTGTAAACATTTTGTTACATGATTAAATAATATTGTTTTAATCGTATAACGATTATCTTTAACCCATAATATATTCTACATTTTTGTAGTTGCAGAGTGGAGCGAGGAATGTATTTTTATTATGCACTTTAGGCTACTTATATAATACACTATTGATCACTATTTTTTATAATAAACCTATTTAAATAACATAATTGCTTATAATTGCGTACCTATTTATTTTAATTTATTTCTGTCACAACAGTACGGATAAATAAATAATTTACAATTAGTATGAACTATTATATATGTATAATAATGAACATTTATCATAATTTATTCTCTGATATAATAAAGATATGTATTAAAAAAAAAAAAAAACGGTAAAGAACGGGCTGTAGATATTGCTCAAAGTGTCACGGGGTAGTGGGGCAGTATACTAGATATTTTTCAAAATTGTGGACTGATAGTAAAGTAGTTGCATCGTTAACTTATAAATTATAAAAGTAATTTATTATTTGAAATGTAAAACAATAAGGTAAATCATCGGAGTGTGGACCTCTGTTACTATTGGTGCGTAGTACCTACTATTATTAATACTCCACGAGATAAATTTACAATTTAAAGTATTATTCGGCAGAATTCTCCATTTAAGATTTTAAAAGTGTGTGAATTTAGAACTTTATATAGTCGGATTAATATTTTAATAAAGTTTCAGGTATTGATAATAGTGATGATCCAAACAAGACCAAGACTTTCAAAATCTTGGTCTTTGTATTGGTCTTGGTCTTGGTCTTGGTCTTGCGCAAGACTCTTGCAAGACTCTTGCTATTTTCACACAATATATAAAAAAAACTAAACATCTGTTATAGGCTATAGCTGTGCTTATGTTTTTTGCTATGCTCTCTAAGATAAAACTTATCAATTTTGGGAAAACAAAATAATTTTTCAGTAATTGTTAATTAGTATGAAACACCTATGTTATTTTGTAATATTAATTCCCATTATATATTTAATCTTTTTTTCAATAATTCGGCATTTCCTCGAATACTGATCAAATTTAATAACAATACAAATAAAGTCCTATTATTTTCGTTATAAATTATTATTTGATGGAATCTAGATACACTAATCTGCAAGCCTAATCTTGGTCTTGGTCTTGGTCTTACAGCAAGAGTCTTCCGAGACCGCAAGACCAAGACCAATTTTGATCATCAATAATTGATACATAATACCAATAGGGTTCCTAGTATTTTTTTTGTGTTTTGCCTCATCTGGATCATTCTTAAAAAATTTATTTTATCTAAATGATAAAAATGGTCATCTTTTAAAATTATCTATTGTCTAAATGTTTTTTCTTATGATTACTTGATAGTTATACTTTTACTGATAGTAGGGAGTAACTAGGTGGACGAGTGTTGTCTGAACACCGCTAAAAAAATTGGTATCTGCGCAAGTAGGCACGAACTCATTTTTATAGAGTACAATTTGAATACAGTTTTTATACTAGGTACAGATTATAGGTTTACAAGAATAAAGTAAATGATAGTATAATATTAATAATATATTTTGTGTTATGTTGTTTATTTTATTTATTAGGTAAGTATGTATATTATAATATGGTGGTAACATGTATTTTTTTTTTTATATAAGTACCATTCCAGCTATGCACTTTTAATATAATTTTTTTATTTACTTATACAATATTTAAAAAAAATATGTCACAAAATATAAAATTTAAATGCATACACCACTTCATTTTGAATATTATACTAATTATTAACTTTGTAGGTAAAACGATACGGTAATTTTATAAATTATTTGAATATTATATTTAGATAACTTTTTCCTGAAATTATCTTAATAGGTATCAAGATAATTTTAATATAAAATATTTATTATCTTATTTAGATAAATATATTTTAGTTATCTATTTATAAAACCGTATATAAAGCTAGAAAGTATATACTTAAAGAAATACAAACATGACCTTATTTTACCCATATAGAATTATAAAGTATTGATCAAAATTAAAAACATATTATTAGGATCAACAATCTTGGTTTCTAATCATAATTTAGTTCGAACTTCGAAAATAAAATTACAAATTTCATAAAATAATACACGGAGAAAAAGAACACACTGTTGACATTTCCAACAAAGGTAAGTTTCTAAAACCTTCAACTTAAATTTTAAAATTGGGTGATCATTATGGTCAACATTCGTTAAAATTATAACACGCCTATGAATCATTTACTTAGATCTATATAATATGATCAATATTTATCAAATGCCAAACGTATTTCTCGAACCCTTAGGGCCGCTTTCACCACTACTTTAAACTCCGATTAAAGTTAAACCGTGGTTTAATCGGCCGAATTTGCCCGGTTAAATATCTGTTATCAGTCGATTAAGCGTAATCAAAGTTTAAAGTATTTGGTGAAAGCGGCCCTTAGTGTCTTGCAACCTAGAAAGTGTTTATGGTGAGGGGAAATTATTTTTCATCACTGAAACCACCATAATAAAATCCTCCATATATGTACCAATGACTAAAATGTTATATAATATTAAGTATGATATTTAAGCGTTAAAAAGTGTAAGGAAATAGTTAATACCTCCATCGTAAGGTAACATATTTTATATTGAAAATAATACATTATTAATTGTAGTATTATATTAAAAAAATGTTTTATTGTAATATTTATCAATATATAAAATCATATATGATTAAAGCTATACTTTAAATACTTATTTAATGAAAAAAAAAATATAAATTTATTTTTTGCAAATGTATTTATTATATTTCACTGTAATAGAAATTGTATTATTAATGTGCGGCAGCTCTAATATACATAAGCATAATAGGTACCTACCTACTTGGCCCATTATCAACCACGTTTTCAATCTACATCATACCAGCGTAATTAAAAGTAAATAGTAAATTGATAGACTAAAATGCAAAATAAGGCTTTTAATTAAAAAAAAATTACAAATTATTTGTATTTCAACTACGTATACAAAAACTAGCAAAAATTGTATACTAAAATTATTAAAACATGGTTGACCGAATTAAAAAAAAGTAAAACACATCATTATATTAAAAAGTATTGCTTTGTTGTTCCGTTCAAAATATAAAAGTTGAATCTTCTATTGTCGCTATAGTTAATATATTTTATAGTTCAATAGTTATAATATGAATAACTTGATTTATTTTAAAGAAAAAAATATTATATTATTGATAAATTCAATAATAATACTGTCTATTGTCAACTTACGTATAAGATAACAATTACACTATTACAGTCTCTTAAAATTGAATGCTTTTAAGTTTTAGTTCACTTGGCAAGTATAATATGAATAAAATCGAGTGACTATATACATGTAGCATTCAAAAGAAAATACAAATTTAATAAATAACGAACACCTATTATAACGTTACGTAGAGGTATTAATAAAATGTCTCAAATGCAAATTGTTTTTATGAACGGATAAGTCGTGTAATTTTGGACTAATTAATTAAAAGGTGATTCAGTATAATGTACCTAACTTTCGTGTTTATATAAGTGTGAATGTGTGATGTAAATTGTAAGTATACCAAAGTACTGTAAACGTTAGTAAGTATCGTACATAATGTTGTATTTAAATAATTTATTCACGTATACAAAGAGTAACTTATTAATATTGCTTCAAACAAATATATATATGAAATAAACCGTATAGTAAGTACACTTTTACTGATATTTCAATTGGGATATTAAATAAATTAGAATAAAAATCATAATATTATGTTCCTTGTTCACTATATAATATAATATAGTAAATACCTACCATGGGTTGATATTATTTTTTTTAAATAAAAATCCGTCCAATTCAAATACCATCGATAGATATAATATTTTGGTAGCTTTACAGAAATATATATTCCGGATGATCCACTAAGCATGCCACCCCAATATTTCCCTTTCATAATGAACTCATTCAAATGTTGATTTTGGAATTTCAAAGTTTAAAGTTCTTAGATTTTTTTTATGCCAATTAAGGAGTGTCGAATAAATGGAATAAGGTATTCACCTACAAACTAATTTTTTGCAAATGAGTAGGTACTA